TTTTTTTATTTTTTTTTGGCTGTTAGAAATATATGATGAAATATGAAGTATGACCCAGTTATATAACCCAAGTTATTCCAAAATTAGTCAATCCAAAATAAAATATCCAACACTGTTTTAATATTAAACATCTAATTTGAAAATCATACAGAATGCATGTCAGTGTGTAATTCAACATTTGACTGCTAAGTGTCAGTATATTACAGCAAAACTTCTTCAAATATGAATTAGTTCAAGGATGCAAATGTAAATCCTGCCAATCAAACACTGGCCACACCTAATTATTATTTTTTATTATTATTATTACTATTTTCCCACATTTTAGAACAACAGTAAAATCATCAAAACTATACAAATTACTCAAATGGGAATTATGTAGTAACTTTTTGTTGACATGATCGACATCTCAGCTTCAGCATGTTGCTAGAAAAGTTCCTTTTCTGTCATGAGGTGAAACACAGTCTGTGGTAAAAATAGCAGAGGAATCGATTCAAGTGTCTCATGGTCGCTTTGAAATGAAAATGTCTGTCTGACCTGTTTCCAGCTCCAAGAGCAAATCAAGAGAAAATGTAAATGCCGAGCTCCTCTGTTCACATTGTTGAATTATTCATTGAATATTCATAATATGTTGACCTGAATACATTTCTGAAGCATCCTCAAAATGATACAGAACAGTAGAAACGCCTCTTTTGACTGACCAACTGGTAAAGTGTTATGTTTGTGGTCCAGACGAGCAGGAGTCATCGGGCTCCATCATCTACACGGTGGAGCTGAAGCGGTTCGGCGGCCCGCTGGGCATCACCATCTCTGGCACCGAGGAGCCCTTTGACCCCATCATCATCTCAGGCCTGACCAAGAGGGGTCTCGCTGAGAGGTGAGCCACAGGTCACACTGATCCACCCTAAATGGGACGCCAAACACACCAAATGTGAGACGAAACGGAGCGATGTTACAGAGTTCAGTGGACCAAGCGGCACAACCTAATCTCACCAGCGCGGCATTTCTTAATTCATCACTGCTCCGCGGAAATATGCCTGTTTTCACTGCACAGTTTCATCCACATTTGGTGTGTTTGGCTTCCCATATCCCTGAATGGTTCATTTTTGAATGGTTGTATGACGTTTTCCTCTCCTAGCATCATTTTCAAGCAAGTATTTAATATTAAATTGCAAAGATTTCATATTAATATTTCTTAATGCATATGGTTGCACATTGTGTGGGTGTTGTCTCTTGTCACAGGACTGGAGCCATTCATGTTGGCGATCGTATTCTGGCCATCAACAGCGTCAGTCTGAAGGGGAAGCCGCTCAGTGAAGCCATACACCTGCTGCAGATGGCAGGAGAAACCGTCACCCTCAAGATCAAGAAACAGACCGACAGTACATCTCAAACTATACACTACTGTATGCACTTAACGGTCCTAAAATAGGCTTTATTTGTTATGGGAAAAAAAAAATAATATATGTTTTTTATTTATCTATCTTTTCATATAATGTAATATGGTATACTATAATATAATACATTTCTCTCCTCATTCCCCCTATTTTGGGGTCTTCTGGTTGTTTAATAAGATGCTCTGATAGTGAAAACATTTTCCCCCAATTCATTTTAATAAATATAATTAGACAAAGTTAAAGTTTTATTTGAACAGAACCATTCCATTTACATCTTCATCATCATCATCATCATTATTATTATTATTATTATTAATATTATAGTTATTACTACATGTTTGAAAGCAACATTCAAAGCACTGCTAGAGAAAAAGTGTTTATGCAACTGAACTTTAGATAAATTCTTTTGAAACATTTAATCATCTGAGTCTCTTCGTTTCAAAATCAATGTAGTATATTTTTGTTCAATAATATTTTTTTTGTTTATTATTTAGAATTTTGAGGAGGTTTTATGATACTATGCAATATTTATACAATTTCTATTAGCCATTTTTTTGTCATTATTATTATTATTATTTGTAGTAGTAGTAGTAGTATCATCATCATCATCATTATTATTATTATTATTATTAGTAGTAGT